TAATTGGAATACTATTATTTGTTATTAAATTGATTTTATAAACTTTAAATTTTAACATTGTAATAGAAAAATTTTATTAGTAAAATACTTATTTTCGAAATTTAAGAAAAAATACCCAAACATTTAAGTGTGACTAATATAAAGGCTTTTTTATATATTTAAATAATTGATCGTCCAATTTATCTTAGGAGGTTGTTATAGAGAAGATAAATTTTATTAAGATTATCCATTATGTTTATCAAATAGCAATAATTATTTCCTTTTTAATTCTACAATAAAATATAATCAGTTGATGAATTTTTAAGGATTTAAGGGATATTATTTTTGAATAGATATTAATTAATTTTGTAAAAAAATCATTTTGAAGGGACAACAGCGATTATACATTGAGTAATAACTGTTTATTATTTGATGTATGTAAAATTTCATGTTGAGCTCAAGTTAATCATTAATTAAGATTCATATATAATACGGTTGGAGAAGATATAATTATCTCCTTAAATCTTAATAATTTCAAAATTATAATATTTGTTAATATGTTTTCAAAGTTTTTTAATATCTTATCAATTAACAGGTGATTGATACATTATCTTGAATAGAGAGTAATTTTAAATTAATCAAAATCATATTGTTTTAACTTTGTTATATTATTTAGTTTATAATATAAAATTCACTTTATATTTTAAATCCTTGTCATATCTTTTTGATTATTATCTTTGTTATTAAATATATCTTTTACTATTTATAAACTAATTTTACATTATTATTAATTATATTTATTAAGACTTATGTTTATAAATAGTAATAAATTATATAAATTATCAGAATATCTTATGGATAAGTTAGGTTTCAATTAAGTAATTAAAATTAATCTTTATTATAATCACTTCAAATCTATGCATACTGTTCTTTGTTTGGATTATTAATTTATTGTAGTATCATTTAACATTAAATAGAGAAAAAAAAGATATAATTAAAGAAATATGAAGAATAAATTTAAATAATAATTGTTGTAATGTTCTTTATGAATAATAATTATCACTTTTACTTAAGGTCTTCCAAAAAGCAACTTCCTTTTTGTTTAAACAATGTCTTTATATCTATGCCTGATTGATTTATAAACTCTCCTCTCAAAATTAGTGCTCCTTATGCTTAAAATATGGGCTATTATGATATAAGGAGTGTAGTGATGTAATTGGAGGCTAAAAATATCAAAAAAAAATAATATTACCTTCTTATAATGGACAATTTTATTAGA